CAACTGAAGCAGAATACCGATCATTAGCTAACACAACTGCTGAACTGACTTGGATCTGCAACTTATTGATTGATATTGGTCTTGTTCTTCCATGCCCTCCCAAGCTCTAGTATGACAACGTATCTGCTATTTCTCTAGCCAAGAGTCCAATCTTCCATGCTCGAAACAAGCATGTAGAGATTGACTATCATTATATCAGGGAAAAGGTTTTGGCCAACTCTGTCACAGTTCATTTCATCCATTCACAGGATCAAATTGCAAATATTTGCACCAAAGCACTATCCAAGGACCGGTTTCTTTTTCTTAGAGACAAACTTTCTCTTCGGTTACCTCAGTTCAGTTTGAAGGGGGATATTAAGGGTAGTATTGTAAAATAACAATGAGTGATACTATTGTAGTTTGTTACAATAACAAACTACATTACTTAGTCATTAAGATAGATGGTTATTCTATGTGAATACTGGTATATATATACCCAAGTGTAATCTTATTGATATGATGGAAATATACACAATATTATTTTACTTTCTCTCTACATTTTCTCTTACTAAAACCTCTCTAGATTCGAACAGATGGTAATGTGCAATTATGGTGGAGTCAAATGCAAGAGTTTAGGCAACAACAAGGAAAAACTTCTATTAAAACCTGGCATTGGTTGAAGTGACTAATTGTTAAGCAATTATTTTCTTATTTGTACAAATTGTATATGGTAAGGATGGGTCAAGCAATCATTAGAAAAGAAGCTAAAGTAATGGAGACTGGTATTTCATTATGCCAAGAAACAATGGAGGTTAAGATGGAAGAAGAAGAGCAAGTAATTTTGCTTGTTGAGAATCTTGTTGAAGAACATCTCTCGAAACATGACAACTCACAAGTGGAGACTCAAGAAATTCAAATATGCGTGATTCTAAAATTGTTATGACTTTGGAGAATCAACAATCTAATAAATTGAAGTTAAATTCCATTGTTGACCAAACAAGAAAATTGGAGAAGAAAAAAAACATATTTTGATTATCAATTGGCATATTTGATCTTTTTTATGGAAATAATTCTTGATTATTCCACTTGAGTACACTAAAAGTTGGGCTTCTCGAGTTGAAGAATTATTTGCTTAACAAGGGAGTTGTCTACTAGCTATCAAGATCATTTCAAGGAGAACTCGAGGTCGAGTTCTTTTCAAGTGGAGGAGTCTAATATAGGACAAGATATGGGTCAATTCCGAATAAAAAAGATAAAAAAAATAAAATGTTTCAAATTCTGGAAAAAGGAGAATTAAAGTTGGGAAATATTGGATTCAAAATAGAAAAGGCAGTAAGAAATATTCTGGTGTTAGAACACTAGTCGTATAATATGTCGTTTTGAAGAAAATCGCAAGCAGAATAAGACTCATGTTATAATGCTAAAAATGATAGTATAGACTTACAAAACCGCATATTAAAGTTTGTAATAAAAATCAGACTTTTCATTTTACTTCCGATTTTACTTCTTTTACATTCCTTAAGACTCCTGAACTTCCCAAAGGTCAAGTTAAGTCTATTTAAGCCTTATGGCTGCTATTGTAATCATCATTCAAGTATTATTCAATAAACCCTTCAGTTTTCTCCCAATTTTGATGGATTCTAGAAAACTTTGTTCTTCAAGTGTTTACGTTCATATCCCTTCTACACTTGTATTGTGTCATTCAAGATTAACTTACATTTTCACAAAAAAATTGGTTAAAACATGTTCTCTAAAAACTTTTTTATTCATTTAAAAATCTTTCCAAATGAGCCCTAACTATTCTCGACGATCAAGGCCAGTAATGATTACCAAAGGTTTCGCATATGTTGGAGTCGGACAAAACAAATTATTTCTTGGCTCTGTGGCAATGTTGCTAACAGCAACTGGAAGCGTTTCCCCATTCTCAGCTGTGTGTTGGAGTTTGGGAAGACTTTCCAGTCTTGCTTATGGTCTTGGATCCCAAGAGCAGCAAACGAAGCGACCAACTTTGTCACTTCATGTTGGAAAATAATAGATTGAGGATTTGGGTTCAGTTCGTTAGAATTAGATTTTGTTAGAGATTAGGGTTATTTTATTATAAATAGAGTGCTTTGTTATTCATTAGAGAATAAGTCATTCACAATGTAGCCTCTTGAATTTATGTAGCTGTTTTGGCGATTTTGTAGTGGTTAATATCAATAATATTTCTAATTTTGTAATCCATTTGTTTGTTCATCGTGGTATGTGCACTCTAATATTCAATTTGGTATAAGAGTAGGTTTGATCATTCAGGATCAATTTGCTTTGTTTGGCATCAAAAGAGGCTTAGTCCTTCGGGGTTTAATCTACTTTTATTGGTATCAATTTGTCTACCTTTGTCGTCGTTGTTTTAGATTATCAGTTGCTATTGATTGTTTGGAAGAAAAAAGTCTGTTAATATAAAAAAAATTTGGTTTGTTCTGACAGCCTTACGCAGCCTCTGCAACTTGACCCGCAATCTGTAAAAGACCACCACGAATTTGCATTTGCTTGCAACCTACCCGCACCGTCGTGAATTTGCATCTGCTCGAACTGCAACAATCATCGCAGCCAAGTTCAATGAACTGGACCACCGCCTGCAACTTGAAGATTGAACTCGTAGGTTACCCCCGCTGATTCACACCATCATTCAAACTGTCGCCAGCCTGAACCACATCTCCACGATCTCGCATCATACCACCACAGTCTAGCGCCTGCCTGAAGTTCCCAGTACCTGACCTGATTGTTGGTACAACCTATGCCAGTACAAGACCATTGTTGCTTTACCATATCTAACTATGTCAAGGTTTGACTGTCCTAGAACTTAATAAGTTGGGCCATTGATTGTCTGTTGGGCTACTTTATTAGATTGGATTGATAAAATGGGCTAAGAAGATAAGGTTGCCTATATTGGGTTGTTGGATTTTGTTTGAAGTATGTGATTTGTTTGAAGTATGATGTTGCCTGCTTGGCAATCACTTGAGTGCTTGGATTAGTGACTACCTGAGTGATTATTGTCGAAGTTTCCGTCTTCTTGTTTGTTGCCTTTGGGTTATAAGAATCTCATCGGTAAGTGACAGGCTCCATACTTCCAATACATGTTTGCCGAAATCTGTATCTGTTATCATTAGTGTATGTCCACTTGTAGCGGATTTTGCCTTGTCCCCTTGTAGTGGATCCTGTTTGCATACCTACCTCACTTGTAATGGAGCTTGTCTTTTTGTTTGTAGGAACCTGTCTGTCTGTCTGCATTGTAGAGTCTGCTTGTCTGTCTGTTTCAGTTGTGGAGCCTACATGTCTGTCTATCCACGTTGCGGAGCCTGCCTGTCTGTCTGTCCACATTGCGGAGCCTGCCTGTCTGTCCAACTAACGAAACCTGCATCCACATCTACTTGTTGGCAAACTCATGTTGTTTACCACTATGAGTTTGACGGGGGATGTTGGAAAATAATAGATTTAGGATTTGGGCTCAACCCATTAGAATTAGGTTTTGTTAGAGATTAGGGTTAATTTATTATAAATAGAGTGCTTTGTTATTCATTAGAGAATAAGTCATTCACAATGTAGTCTCTTGGATTTATGTAGCCATTTCGGCGATTTTGTAGTGTTTGATATTAATAATATTTTTAGTTTTGTAATCCGTTCGTTCGTTGATCGTGGTATGCGCACTTTGATATTCAACTTTCATAGTTCGTACTATGATTCGAAGATGAGCGATTCAGTTTGGGTCGATTGGCTCCCATCTTCATTTATTAGGATTTTGAACAAGGATGGGCTTCCTTGTCCCCCTTTTCAGTAATGGGTGTAACAGTAGTTGAGGTGACACTCGGGTTAGATGTAGTTGCACCGTGTTGTTTTTTACCTTTTCTTTGTTTATTTTCAATGATGTACTTGTCAGAGTAGTATAACCTATTGTAATGTTTGACTTTGGCTCTAGTGATGAAGTTTCCAGTTTCTCATAACAAAAAAATAAATAAAAAATAAAAGAAAAAAGAAAAGAAGTTGCACTTGGTGATAAATCCGCAAAAGCAATAGGATAGAGGGATAATTATTAAACAATAAACCGTAAAACAAGAATACGAGGAATTTTAAAGTTTATTTGATAATAGTCCGAATACAATTTAAAAGTAAATAAATTAGAAAATAATAAAATAATGAAAATTCTTTAAAATATTAAAATCACTTGGTCAAAACTGACAATGGAGAGTGACATTCCTGTTAAACCAATTACACAGAACAAATTCAGTTTCTTAAATCACAACCAAGAACAAAACACAAAACATCAATCCATATGAAAACAGAACAAACTGACCTGAAGAACTTCCATTGGATGCAGCCATGGCTATGCTCGACCAACTAGAATGCAACAATGCTTCTTCTCTCTGACAAGATGCTTATTGCTCTAACCAAGAATAGGTCTCAGTTCCAAAAGAGCATGTTCTTGTGAGAGAAGAGATTGCCATATATATATATATATATATATATATATGTACACACATATCCTTCTCACATTAGAATATGGATTCCCTATTAAAATCCTTATGAAAAACTACTTAAGTCTTCCTAATTCAAATCAGTTTGTCACTGCAATAGAATCCTCTACTGCCAAGAACTGATTTCCATCTTCTATAAGGTTTTCTTATTCTTATTGGACTCAAACAACTAATGCCCAATCATCTTATCTCATATTCATATTCTTACAATTCCATCTATGCATCTCTTTCACTCTTTGTCTTCATAAATTAAAGGCACAACATTTCACAGGCGTGGAAATTACGTTTCTCTCTCATTTCATATGTTAATACAAAATCAATTAGAAACCTTACATATACTGGACTACAGATAATTACAAAACAATACAAGCAAATAAAATATATATATTAACTCAATAATGATGCCAAAAGAAGATATATGATGATGAAACTGAGGGAGAAGGGATGGCAAGTCTAAGATGTGGACCTTGATCTCTTGCATTCCTACATATACTTAGCTAGGCAGCCCTATTATTTGGGCGGAAGTCGACAAAGTGGGCATGTTGCATTCCTTCCAAGCCATTCATCTATGCAATTAGCATGGAAATAATGGTTGCATTGTGGTATAGTCCTCAGGGTTTCATTTGGCCGGTACTCACCCAAACATATTGGGCATGTGTTGTCGGTGAGCTGTTTTGGAAATTCCGACCTCTCACCAAGTTGAATCTTGGGATACAATTCGATGGTCGGACGATCGAGACCCATTGTGAGTACTGAAGGTTGTTGATCGGTTATGATGGACAATTCCATATTGGGTTGGCGGGGCTCATCGCTAGCCCTCTTTTTGTCCCGAACATGAATTGCAACTCCCACAATTAACAATACTGAAATTCCCACTCTTATCATTCTGCAATAAATTGCAGCCCTTGATAGACCTGAGGCAAAATTGCAAAAATTCAATTGCATTCCGTGAAATAACATTTTGGTATGATGTTGAGGTACAATTTTACTTTATAAGTAATTAAATAAAATAATGTGTAACATATATAGTTTTATTAAACATATATAGCATTGTTAATTAGGTTTAGTATACACACGCGAGCGCGCACACACTCACTCCTATGTATAGCGTTGTTCATAAAACATACAGGGTTTCGAAGAATCAAAGCACTAACTGCTGAACCTCTGCCGTTCTTCGAGCCACAAACATGACCACTTGATTCACAAAAACGGCAATCAGGCGTATGCCAAGTCAACTGAGCGCCAAGGTCAAGATGTTGCCAATCAAACGGTCTTGGAACTGAAGTTGTGGAAATCACAGTGCAAAACCGATGGTAGGGTTCCTGATCAGGAGGCAATGAAAAACTCGTTGGCACAACAATGACATAGTTCTTCTCGCTGCTGAGGCAATAGATCAAGGGTGCAGACCAGGTTTCGTTATAGATCGAGCATGTGAGGAACGTGTAGTTTAGACGGCCATATGTGTATACCAAGGGTGTATCGATTACAAGACTGAGGTCACGGTGGAAAAACCATCTAGGGAGGCAGTTATCGGGGTCGTTGATCGTTACAACTTGATCCAAGTAGTTGATGTTTTGGACTATGAAGTCCTCAGAAAATGGGAGAGTGGGAATAGTTTGACGTTGGTCGTTGCATGAGAGACCAAACCCTGGATACCCACAATTTTTTGAGAAATGGTTGTAGTAACTTAGCCTGCTGAAAGGGAATCGAACTGACGGGCCTTCAGGGGAGAAATTTTTAGTTGTGACAGGAATACGGATGGTACATCAAGTGTTTTTATGCAAGTGGTAGAAAATTTTAATTTTTAAGTTATTAACCTTTTAACCCACATAACCCACAATTTCTATAAGGACACTTGATGTATTAACTCATGTAACGATCACACTGAAAAATCTCTTCCTTCATGGGTGCATTTCGATTCACCACACGAGGCGGTGGTGATTGAGGACGGAAGAAGAGGAATAAGAAGAATGTGAAGGTATCGATGGTAGCCATGTACGATGAACACTGCCAATACGGATTTGTGTTGTAATTTAATGACCTGAGTATGAGTGTGCCTATTAACCCAACAAACCAAATAAGTTAGACTCTACGTTAATTTTTAGAAGCATATAACAATTATAGTAACGCCGATGTCTCTGTCTCATAGTTTTTATACAAATAAAGTAATATATAATGTACCTTGACAGTGAATAATGGAAATTAAAAACTATAATGATGTAATCCAAGATAGAAATTTTCTTGGAGGCACATATGTATACAAGTGAAATATGCTACAAGATGTAATTAGTTAAATGTGGTACCACTTTCGTTTTTGTTTTTAGTTCATGAGCTTTAAAAGAGGTTGAGGGTTAGAGAGTACTCGTGTTGACCATGTATTATCAAAGGGTTTATTTATTAATACCCCACATAACGTTGAGTACACTACATTAAAATTAATATTAAATTATTTATATACCTCATATGCAATGCCAATACGCCCCAACCCATAATGGTCAAGCAATGCGGAACCAAATCCTTTGTAAAATCGGGGCAATAGATGCCTTTCTTGCAACATAGAAACTCATAATCCACATGAATAGTAGCCAGAACCGGTTGAGCACACAAGGCAAATAGAAGACTTTCTTCATCGTCTATGGTCCAGTATCGATAAATAAAATACGTCTCTTCGCTTTGTCGTTCTTTCCTCTCACTTCATTTTCGAATATTTGTTTAACGGTGCAAGAACAGTCTTTGTCTAGCATAAGACCCTTATGTTCAATGAATTAGAATGCTTTATGAAAGCATAACATCTCCTCCATATTGAATTCCCTGAAAATACACATATGGCAACCCAACATTTAGTGATAGATCATATATGTTGGGGAGAAAGCTCAACTCTCGAGCAGCTTGCACGGTTTCTACAACCCAGCGCATAAGCCCAAAGCTTGAGCCAATCAAGAGGTTTGTAAAGTGAGAAATTTCAGAGTAAGAAAGTCCACAGAAACCACACAGGAAAGGTTGAAAAGTGAGAAATTTCGCCAAAACATTAGGGAAAGAAATGAAATAGGTATATGCACTTAAAGTGTCTATTAAGTATGTGAGGTGCTTTCAACAATGTGTGAGGTGTTAATAAAACAAGTCTTATCAAAAAGTGCATTCCGCATGAATTAAAGTGCTACGAGCTGCTGGTATTTTGAGCTTATTCGAGGATGGAATAGGAGAAGACAAGGAGGTGGTGAGCATCAAGTTTAATTTTTAATAATGGGGTAATGACCAACCAAATGCCTAATATATTGTTCAAACATAAATCACTTTCTGATTTCCACATTAAATCACAAGGCCTCATAGCCGGTTTTATTCGATTTGAAATATGGGCGTCCAGCTGAGTGTGAAATCACGAGATGATTCTTAAGCAATCGTTCGTTGCTTTGAACCATGAACTATGGACTTTGTTTTAAAAGAAGAAAACTTCGATTTATGGAATATTAAGATGAAAACCATCTTTAGGTCTCATGAACTCTAAAATTTGGTTGAAAAAGGGTTTTGAAATCCCAAAAAAGAATGGAGAAGAAGCTGCTGAGAGATAATACTGTCAAAGATGCAAGAGCTCTTGGTATCATTCAAGGTGCCGTTTCAGATCAAATATTTCAGAATTGCCAATCAAGAAACTGCCAAGGCAACCTGGGATATCTTGAAGGAAGAATTCATTAGAGATAAGCAAGTGAGGTTAGCCAAATTACAAGGCCTTAGAAGTGAATTTGAATACATACTTATGGGTGAGGATGAATGTCTTTTTGTGTATATGGTTAAACTGTTTGATTTGATTAACCAAATGAAAAGTAATGGTGAAGAAATAAGTAATCAACGAGTTGTGCAGAAATTGTTGATAAGTTTGCGTAAATCCTGATAGCATAGCTCCTATGGTCGAAAAAGAAGCCCATAATCAAGAGTCCCTTTGATATAGCATAGGATTCGCTTAATGACAACAAGATGAGGTTGACGAAGAGCGCTTATAAATTGGGCGATAGTATTGCCGGCGAGATGTCTGACTAGGGATGGACAAATACTCATTGGTTATGGGTAACTGCGGTTACCCATCCATTTAAATTAAACGGTTACGGTTATGGGTAACCGTTTAGATAAATAAACGGTTATGGGTATAACCTTTTACCCGCGAAATTTAAATGAGCGGTTATGGGTATTAACCACGGTTATAAATGGGTAACCGTTTACTCATTTATTTTATATATGTAAAACTAACACAAACCATGTTCTCGATCCAATAATACTTAGCACCCAATAAATTAGCAAGGAATTCATCGGTCATTCTCTCAATAACACTACTACAGGAATGATGATTCTCATCATCAAGGAATTGGCCAAATTAATTTAAATTCTTTGCGGGTAACCGTGAAATTGACAGAAATACTTTGACAGAAATGTCTTCTAAACAATTTTTGTAACCCAACAATACTTAGCAAATATTATATTTACCTTCATTGGTAACAGTTAAAAATATCGTCCGTAAACTATTATTTCAATTATTAGAATGGTATAAGGACTTAAAAAATTAAAATATGGAAATGTATGATGAATGTACCTATAACGGTGTTAATTGTAAAAAAAAAAAATTATGACAATTTTTTTTTAATTTTCAAGTTGTTAAAAAACGTGTAGACGGGTGAAAAAAGGGTAATGGTAAAAAAAAGGATAAACGGGTTAAAAAGGATAAATGGGTAAGTGGGTATTAAACGGTTACGGTTAAATGGGTATGCGGTTATGGGTATGGTTAACCGTTTATAAACGGTTATGAGTATGGGTATAACTGTTTAGGCAATTACCTAATGGGTAAACAGTATGCGGGTATGAGTATAAACGGTTATGGGTAAATTAATCGCGGTTACCCGCCCGCATAACCATTGCCCGTCCCTATGTCTGACTGAGTGAGAGTTAAGTATTGTAAACAACCAACTATTGTGCAATATTCCTTTGGAGAAGACAAAAGAGAACCATCGGAAATTGAGAGAACCACCTTGGCAAGCTAGCGGTGTGGATGCGCGCTTAAATGAGGAGTGTTGATTGGTAGCCACGGGGTTGCGAAGACACGTGTGTGAGTAGCGAGGAGAGCATGAGCATGAGTATCGGCGGTGGCACGATATAAAGTCTGTGCCTCAAAGGAGAGAAGTCGAGCACGAAGATCCTAAAGAAGGCAGTGCAGGAAATTGAAGAATCATCGTGTTCACTTGCCCTATCTGTCTCATAGGTAGATGTGGCATCTTCTCTGGAAGTATTTTTCCTCTATCCAGATGTGGTATCTTTAACTGGTGGAAATGCACAAGGTAATGTATCAATTTCACTTGAAGCTTATTTGTAGTTTCAGGCTTGGTCAAGCACGATATAAACCATGTAGTAGGAGTCCCCTGAGTCGCCAAGCTAGGAGATCTGCCGAAAGAGGTGACAGACAAAGTAAGCAATCAGAGCTCACAACAATCAGTCCCAGATCAGAAGTTTGATTTCGAGTTCCGGTTGATTGTTTTCATTCTCCCTATCTTGCAAGCAGCAGGAAGGATAAAGAGAATAAAAATGAGAAGAGATGATATGAGATACTTTTTCTTTTGAAGAAGTAACTTTCCACAGACTTATTCTTAAATTGGGCTATAGAGTTTTCTGGTTTCCTCCAGAGTATAAGGCCGACTCAAGAATTTGAGGGTCAAAACAAGTCCATCAAATCTAGACTACGTTCGACCCTGATGATATGGGATACCTTTGCTGTTGACAAAGTAATGGATGTGGCATGACGAGGCTTTTGCTCTTTGGTGACGATATCAGTGAAAGGTTGTTGAAGCTTCTCGACCTATTCGGATAGGGCAATGATGTCGAGCTTGGATTTGACTTAGAATCATCCGTCTGGATTATGCGGTTCTGCAGGGGGCGTCATGCTATAGTGATCTGTTCCAGCTCATCGTTGACCTTCTGCTTCAATCTTTTGTATTGCAGAAATGGTGCGCAACCTTTACATTTGAATGGTCATTCAGAGTACTACTTCTCAGCGACTCATTCATGCTTGGCAGCTTCAGTGTAAAGAGACAATATTGTATCAACTGTTCTGAGGTATTTGCCGAAAGAATTCGCGACCTTGACAAAAGTTGAGGATGAGTACTCGAGAGCAATGCTAGGTGAGCAACCAAGAAAAAGTTCTAGGCAATCAGTTCCAGATCAGAAGTTTGATTTCAGGTTCCGACTAATTGTTTTCTTTTTCCTTGTCTTGCAAGTAAAATCAATGGTAAAGGAAAAGACAGGGAAAAATATGATATGGGATACTCTTGCTTTTAACCCTGATAATATGAGATACTCTTGCTCTGGTGTGGCTTGTTTGCAGAGGTATTATTGGTGGGGAAGAAAACTGAGTATTTCGAGATGCTTCGTTGGGAGTGCTCTCTCAAATACAATGAAGGATTGAGCATTTTTGCAGGTCTGCCTGGCTGTGGATGATGGAGGTCGACATATATAGGAATTGTCCCAACAACGAGTAGTAACGTTATTCCTTTACCTTTCTCGGTCATAGCAATGTAGTGGGAGCTGCAAGATTCACGTGTTTTAACTTTGTCATAGCATTTTGAAAAAGTGGTATGTGGTACCTGAAAAGCTGATGTTGCATGTGAAGATTGCAGACAAATTTTATCCAAGAAAATCTGGCTTTCGAAGTTCGGAGAGCTGTGCCTCTTCGGTTTTCGGACAAGCAATCCTGCTGGGGATCTGGCTCTCAAGATTCAGATAGCGTTGCCTCTTTAATTTTTGAACAAGCAATCCTATTGGGAATTTGGCTCTTGAGATTTAGAGAGCGGTGCCTCTTCAATTTTTGAGAAAACAATCTTGTTGTGAGTTTGGCTTTTGAGATTCGGATATCGGTGCCTCTTCAATTTTTGAGAAAGTAATCCTGGTGGGAGTCTGGCTCTCGAGATTCAGAGAGCAGTGCCTCTTCGATTTTTGAGAAAGCAATCCTGGTGGGAGTC